TTTTTAATTATTTAGTGGTGGTTTTTATTATTGTGAGTATATAGTGTTTGCTGTGATGGGTTTGGGGTRGTGTGATGTAATTAACTTGTTAGGTTTTTTTGTATTTATATTTGTTTTATTTTTCGATCGGCTCCTCCTGGCAGCAGCGCCCACTTTCCCTCCGCTCCATCCAGGAACCACCGGGCTGTGCCCGCCCAATTCCAATTCTTTGGAGGCCTCTCTCCACAAAGGGGTGGTCCTGTCCCACTAAATTCCAGTTTTGCCCACCAAATTCCAATTTTGCCCACCGAATCCGATTCTGACCACCAAATTTCAGTTCTGCTCACCGAATTCCAATTCTGCCCACAAATTGCAATTCTCCCCACCAAATTCCCATTTTGCCCACCAAATTCCAGTTCTCCCCACTGAATTCGAATCTGTCCACTGAATTCCAATTTTGCCCGCCATCAAATTCCAGCTCTACCACCAAATTCCAATTCTGCCCACAAACTGCAATTCTCCCCACCAAATTCCAGTTTTGCCCACCAAATTCCAGTTCTCCCCACCAAATTCCAGTTCTGCCCATAAATTCCAATTCTGCCCACCAAATTCCAGTTTTGCTCACCACCAAATTCCAGTTCTGCCCACAAAATTCCAATTTTGCCCACCAAATTCCAGTTCTGCCCACCAAATCCCAATTTTGCCCACTAAATTTGAATTCTGACCACCGAATTCCAGTTCTGCCCAAAAAATTTCAGTTCTGCCCACAAGATTCCAACTCCTCCCACCAAATTCCGATTTTTTCCATCAAATTTTGCCCCCTGAACTGGGTTATCCCAGTGCTGAACTGGGCCCTCCCAGCCCCACAAACCTCCTGAGCCTCTTCCCACTGGTCCCCGACACAAAACATTTGAATTTCCTGTTTTCCCAGATGTTTTTCCCATCCCATTTTTTCCCATCCTGTTTTTTCCATCCCAAATCCTTCAGGGACAGGAAATTCCCYGGAGCAGCCATACCTGGATTCCTCGTAGTGACGAGACCCCCATGTACAGAAAGACCCCGTAGAGCACTGGCATCGGGATAAACTAGGGGAAAAATTAATTAATTACAATTAATGGGAAATTGGAAAAAATTGTAACAATTAATTGTAAATTGTAAATCGTAAATTGCAAAAAAATACAACAATTAATTGGAAATTGGGAAAAAAATGCAACAATTAATTGTAAATTGTACAAAAAAAAGGACAAATAATTGTAGATTGTAAAAAATGAAATTATTAATTGTAAATTGTAAAAAATTGTCACCTGGCAGTTCCCACGGTCACCAGGCAATTCCCATCCCGCTCTTACCTTGAGCACGGAGGTGAAGAAGACGGAGCAGCCCATGAGCACGAAGATCATGAGGCCGGTGACCCTCTGCTCGCGGATCCCCAGGAACTTGGGCTGCTCCCCYGGCGCCGAGCAGTCCGACTCCACCTTGAGGCTGTTGACGTGGGTGATGGACAGCACGGTGGCGGCCACRAACCAGGGCAGCCCCATCACCGAGCACACCCCGAGCATCACGGCCACCATCAACAGGTCCAGGTGGTACCCACAGCCTTTCTGGGGAGGGAAAATGGAATGGGAGTGTCCCTCAGGGACTGAAAATGGAATGGGACCATCCCTCAGGGACTGAAAATGAAACAGAGTGTCCCTCGGGGACCAAAAATGGAATGGGAGCATCCCTCAGGGACCGAAAATGGAATGGGACCATCCCTCAGGGACCGAAAATGGAATGGGAGTGTCCCTCAGGGACCGAAAATCGAACAGGAACCAAAAACGGAACAACAGCGTCCCTCAGGGACCAGAAACAGAATAGAAGCGTCCTTCAGGGACCAAAAACAGAATGGGAGCATCCCTCAGGGACTGAAAATGGAATGGGAGCATCCCTCAGGGACCAGAAGCAGAACGGGAGTGTCCCTCAGGGATTGAAAACAAAACAGGAACCAAAAACCAAATGAGAGCATCCCGCAAGGATGAAAAACGGAATGGGAGCATCCCTCAGGGACCGAAAATGGAATGGGAGCGTCCTTCAGGGACCGAAAATGGAATGGGAGCATCCTTCAGGACTGAAAACAGAATGGGAGTGTCCTTCAGGGACCAAAAATGAAACGGGAGTGTCCCTCAGGGATTGAAAATGGAATGGGAGTGTCCCTCAGGGACCAAAAACTGAATGGGAGCATCCTTCAGGGACCAAAAACTGAACAGGAACCAAAAACGGAACAGAAACATCCATCAGGGACAAGAAATGAAACGGGAGTGTACCTCAGGGACTGAAAACTGAACAGGAACCAAAAATAAAACGGGAGTATCCCTCAAGGAGCAAAAACAGAACAGGGACCAAAAATGGAATGAGAGCATCCTCAGGGACCAGAAACGGAATGGGAGTGTCCCTCATGGACCGAAAACGAAACAGGAACCAAAAACAGAACGAGAGCATCCCCCAGGGATGAAAAATGGAATGGGAGCATCCCTCAGGGACCAAAAACTGAACAGGAACCAAAAACGGAACAGAAACATCCATCAGGGCCAAGAAATGAAACGGGAGCGTCTCTCAGGGATTGAAAATGGAATGGGAGCATCCCTCAGGGATTAAAAATGGAATGGGATCATCCCTCAAGGAGCAAAAACAGAACAGGAACCAAAAACAGAATGGGAACATCCTCAGGGACCGAAAATGGAATGGGAGCATTCCTCAGGGATCAAAAATGCAACATGAACATCCCTCAGGAAGTAAAAAGGGAACAGGGATTGAAAACAGAATGGGAATAACCTCAGGGACCAAAAATGGAAGGGGATCATCCCAAAGGGACTAAAAACCAAATGGGAGCATCCCTCAGGGACCAGGACAATTCCACGGGTGGAATCCTGCTCAAGTTCCAGTCAACTTCTGGGAAATTTAAAAAAGTTTTGAAAGGGGAATTGGATTCAAACACGGATTTCACATCCTGCATGAAAATCTGGCTGGATCAGACAAAGTGGGTCTGGAGGGTTGGTTACCATTATAATATCATAACCCAAAATCTGAACTCTAACCCTAAACCCTAACCCTAAACCCTAAACCCTAGCCCTAAACCCTAACCCCAACCCAAACCCTAAACCTTAAACCCAAACCCTAAACCCTATTTCGAACCCTAAACCCTAAATCCTAACCCTAACTATAACCTAACCCTAATAAAAAATACAAAAATTTAAACCCTGCTCAAACACGGGTCAGCTTCTGGGAAATCTAAATTATCTTTGAAATAAGAACTAGAGCCAAACACATTTCACATCTTGCATGAAAATTGGGCCCAATCAGACAAAGAGGAGGGTTTGTACCATTTCTGCTTCTCAGAAATAATTTTAAAAATATTTTTTCATTCATAAACAGATTCCCACCACTCACAGGTAGGATGTGGTGCTGAGTGATCCCTGGAGCTCACTGAGATCCCTTCCCCAGCTTCAAAACATTGAAAACAAATGTGACAAACAAAAATTGGAAAACCTCCTACATCACTCCAGGATTCATTTGCTGCTCCCAGAATTTCTCATCCCCTCCCAGTGCCACCGTTAGCCCACGGGAGCTCCTGTCATGCAGCCTGGGGTTATCCCAGAATGTCCCAAAGCGTTTGGGACAGGAGCCTGTGGGTGGGGATAAAGTGGGGACAAGGTGGGGACGGGGTGGGGACAGGGTGGGGACAGGGTGGGGACGAGGTGGGGACAATGTGACCCCTCACCTTGAGCCTGTGCTCCTTCCTGTTGACGATGACGGCCGTGATCTGCTGGTCCATGAAGATGAGGATGGTGCAGAGCAGGGCCGGGATGAGCGCGGCCAGCACCGTCCACCACGGGTTGGGCCCGATGGGGTTGATGAGCCAGCCACGGTCATCCCTGGTGGGCTGCAACACACGGGGTGTGGTCAGCTCCCACCCCAACCCTCCCCTGGCCTCAACTTCCCTCCATCCCTGGGTCTGAACGTTTCCCAGCCCTGCCTTCGTGTCCCACTCTCCTGGGCRGATCCACCGTGCCGGGGTTCTCTGTCCCAGTGCCTGGTTTTGGGGTTGTCTTCCCAAAAATGGGAAGGAATTGATGCTCTTGGATGTGGAAGAGGAGATGGTTCCACCACCAGCACCTCCTCCAGCCAACCCCTGACCTGCTGGAGATGGTTCTCCTGTTCAGTGCCCGATTTTGGAGCTGTCTTCCCAAAAAATGGGAAGGAATCAATGCTCTTGGACATGAAAGAGGAGATGGTTCCACCACCGGCACCTCCTCCAGCCCAGCCTGTCCTGCTGGAGATTGTTCATCTGTTCAGTTTGGGGACCGCCTCCTGATTTACAGGGGAAATCGGTGCCCTTGGATGTGGAAGAGGACATGATTCCACAACCAGTCTGTCCTGCTGGAGATCATTCTCCCTTTCAGGGTCCAGTTTTGGAGCTGTCTCCCGATTTCCAGAGGAAATCGATGCTCTTGGGTGTGCAAGAGATGGTCCCACCACTGGCACCTCCTCCAGCCAACCCCTGTCCTGCTGGAAATGGTTTTCCCTTTCAGTGCCTGATTTTGGGGTTGTCTTGCCAAAAACGGGAAGGAATTGATGCTCTTGGGTGTGGAAGAGGAGATGGTTCCACCACCATCTTCTCCTCCAGCCCAGACCATCCTGCTGGAGATGGTTCACCCTTTCAGTGTCCGGTTTTGGGGCCATCTTGTGATTTCCAGGGAAAATTGATGCTCTTGGACATGGAGGAGATGGTCCCACCACCAGCACCTCCTCCAGTCCAGCCCAGCCCAACCCAGCCCAGCCCAGCCCAGCCATTCCTGCTGGAGATGGTTCTCCCTTTCAGTGTCCAGTTTTGGGGCTGTCTCGTGATTTCCAGGGGAAATTGATGTTCTTGGACATGGAGGAGATGGTTCCACCACCAGCACCTCCTCCAGCCCAACTGGACCTGCCCTGACATCACCTGGTGTCACCTGAGGTGCCAAAACCCTCCTCCACCAACCCTTCTCCCCGTTACCTTGAACACGTGGGGGACGTGGAGCTTGGGGGACGGGATCCCGATGGCGAGGTCGATGAGCACCATGATGACAATGGTGAGGAACACAGCGAAGTCACTCACTGTGGAGCGGACCTGGGGCGAGAAACCGGGGCTGAGAGGGGCCGGGACACGAGTGGGGACACCTGGGGACACCCACAAGGTTTGGAGTGGTCAGTCCCCAAAATCCCACCACTCCGAGGACAAGCAGACAACTCCCTTGGGTGGACATTGCTGCCGTGTTGGAGGTCTGGGGATCTGGTGTGGGACAGCAGAAAGAGTTTAATTAGGGGGGAAATCCAAATTTTAATTTAAAACATTAACAGAAATACTAAAAAATTACAAAAGGTGGCACGTTTCTGGGTAAAATGGGAATAAGGCACTGAGGCAT